ACATGAAATTCAAGTTACTGAAATTTACGCAAAATTACATGAAATGTAAAATTGTAATTTTTGTAATACAACCCTACTCAAGGATCGACTCAACCTGATCAAAGTCCCTATTTGAGGAGTCTGGATAAATTTTTAAAAATCAAACTTCAGGAGTTGATCTTTGAGAAGTTAGATAAGACCGATTTAATTTCATCTGTCTTGTACAATAACGTAAAATGAATAATTGCGATGTAATTGACCACAATTAGTGACTGGACTCGTCAACTCGTAACTCGAATAATCATTATCATTCTTCGAATGAATTAATAAAATTTGTAATTATGTATAGTAAATACGTACATATGTAATTTTAACGTAACTACTGAACTACGTCTATATATTATTAAAGTGATTTTTTTTTACGATCATGTAAAAAATAGCCACTTCAGCCGGATACAAAATGCCAAAAAAAAAAAAACCACATATTTATTTGTTCGAAAGGACACTCTCTGTATATAATAATTATTGTTTTATATACTAAAAAACTTTAGGTAAGACCATTGCAGCAAATAGGTTGGCAGCATACAAGAACGAAGATACAAATTCATGGTAAATAAACATATGCTGAAGCATAGCTAACACTGCTATCATCTCCACGAGTAACTTGACTTGATTGTGAATAATGCACGAATCTAATCCTTGGCTTTGTAGTATCAAAAGGTAGATTAGGCTTTCCTTCTTCTTCTGTAACAGTTTTTTCTTGACTATTTTGCAAAGCATCAATCGTGCTTAAAAGTACTCCAATAGGATGTCTTCCACATATAGTATTCTTTGTTTTAGAAAGATACGTATGAAATTCTTTATGATTCATTTCTTCGATAATAGTCATTCCTTCACGGTCGAGATTTTCGATAGATTTATATATCGGAATTGATAGAGGTGTATTAGACTTACGTGGGAGATAAGTTGTGTTGACTGAATCAGAATAATAGGTATACGAAAATCGCTGGCCCCTATGGGTAAGATTAATTATAAATAAAATTACACAATTCTTTGTTTTTTTTGACTGGAAACACATATACACATATAATATCCTACCAATGACAAAAATCTGATGAGATAACGAATAAATTTGATGGATCAGAAAGGTAAGAACTAAGAATTTTTCCGTATAATTGTTCTTTGGATTCTGATAACGAGCCAACCATAATTGGCACGATTTTGATAGAATTAATCTTGCTATAAAACATAAATAAAATAAGCCCTTTAAAAATGAAGATATGACTATGCTTAAATTATAAACTTATATATTACCTTTCCAAAATCTTATAAACGTACGGAAGATGCATCTCGATACTATGTTCTTCCTCATCAACAATAACTGACATTTCCTCAAAGTGACCAGTTTGTCGCAACTCATTAATAACTACAAGAAAAAAATTTTTTTTTACATTGATAATATGAAATGAAACTAGTAAAATATCGAATAAATGAATACCTTCAATATCCAAAACTAGGTTTCCCAAAGGCGTTTCATACTCGGTACATTGTGAAATGGCACATTTTGTAAGATATACATGGTGAGAAGGGCCGAGAATGAATACGCGCTTCCTGTAAAATTCATGTACCACGTCGAAACACGCCGTTCATGAATGATTAGACAACGTGATACAATCAAACCTTTTCCACATCGATGAATAGACCTTACACAAAAGCGGGATCAATACACTTATAAGCAAATGCTGCTGCTTGTCCACTATATGAATATCCTGCATGTCTAATTACGCATATGAATAAATAATCCGAAAAAAATAAGTAAATCTATAAAAGCATCCATATATTAATTATCTTTACTATTTCTCAATTTTATTATAGAAAAGATACTTGCGGTGCAATAACCGCGCGAGCTCCAGGCACTGGAATAGGAACGTTGTCTTCCGTTAAAGTTGGTACATTTTCTAGCCATTGATTAAGCTCCTTATTTAAACGAAGTCCTTAAAATGACAGACCGATCAAATATTGTGACAGTTTTTGGTGCAAAAGATCATTTTGGTTGAATTCTCACCACAAAAGTACAAAGTTCATTACATAAATTTACCATTATCAGTATACCAAGAACCGGCATGATAAGCTTTTCTACTCATTTTAACTAAAGTTATTTGAATATCAATCTCAGGAGAAAATTTCCTATTAATTCGAAGATCGTTACACGGTACTCTTTTAGGGATCCCAGTACCCTGACAGTTTTAAGTTCATTCTAAGTTCATTACACGTGACTTTATCACATATTACTGTTGCAGAATTATGCGATGCGACGGATTCTCTAACTCAATTTTATATAATGTATAACAAGGGTCGCATCGCATAGATGCGGTTGCTGTGAGTTATGGTCACGGCCTATTTTTTATTAGATTATGAGTTTTTTATTTTATTATCCAATTACAATAGAGCGGAAGAATTCATGTGACTATATTAACTTATAACGATTAGTAAGTTTGAAGCTTTAATGTAATTCTTGGAGTCCTCTTGCGTGTATTACGTTCAGTTTTTTGTACTCAGTTAACGCAGCTTTTGGTGATATTAGGTATTTGTAATCGAAATTAATAATGCAAATATTTTTCCATGAAGTTGCACGGCTCATTGCAACGTAGGCTTGACCTTCAGCAAAAATGGATTCGTCGATAGAAGTGGTTACATGAGGTAAGGTTAATCCCTGTACTTTGTGAGTGGTGAGTGCAAAGGTGCTTTGGAGGGGAAATTGTTTTCTTGATGCTCTTTTTCCGTCTATATTGAAATAGGTTGTTTCTTTTTGAACAATAACTTTAATTAGGTTAGTAAAAGTAGGGAATATTACTTCTATGTTCTAATAATCAATAATTTTCATTATGATTCCAATCGAGCCGTTACAGATGTCATTATCGAAAAGTTTATTATTTAGGAACATAATGCGTGCTCCTTCTTGTAGGTGTATGGTATGAGGTAGATTTGTTAAATGTTTGAAATTGGTAATTGAGTAGTTTTCATTTAAAATTTCGAAGTTTAGGGTATCTTTGGATGTAAAAATAACATTGTATGATTGAATGGGAGATAGCTACATAAAAGCTGGTTTTTGTTGTTAGCAGTTTGACGTGTATTAACTATGTGAATAGTATTGTAGAATTCTTCAGGATCGTTATTTGTGTTGATTTTTGATTGAATAATGATTTTAGTTTTATTTGATAGGTGATCAATTTGTATTTCTGTAGAATGTTATAAAAGTCAAGATTGTCATATTGACGTTATAGAGTTTTTAGGAATAGAGAGAAGAAGGGTGACCAAGCCGGGAACTGAAAATCATATTTTGGTTTTACTAGAGATAGTTGAGCTAAGTCACTTACTACTAGAGTTGGTATTCCTCCAAAAACTGAATTATTGTTATGAATTTTGGCGAAGGTATTGCTAACAAAAGTGAATAGATCTCCATCTATCATTGAGATCTTTTCAATTATTAATGCATTTATTTTTTTTAATTCAATTTTGTCTTCATTATTGGAGTGAATTAAGGTTTTATACTTTTCATCGTGAGATCGAATTTTTAATAATGAGTGTAGTGTTTTACTACCAATGTTGTGAGCTGCAACTTTGGTAAAGGCTATTAGTAAGTATTATTTTTTTTTAATTGGAGTAAGGAAGTTATTTGATGTAATAAAAACGATTTTCCAGTTCCAGCAAGGCTCATTAAAAAAAAGTATGGATATTTTCCTTCTGATGTTTTTTCTTATACATTAGATAATATAGAATAAATTTGGTATTGATCAGTATTTAGGGTTAATAAGGAACGGGATTCTAAGTAGAGATGATGTTTTTCTAAAAAGATAAATTGATTGAAAATTAGATCAAACAAATCACGATTTTCAAATTCTTGGATAAGAGAAGTTATTATAGAATTATATGATTCAAATAAACAATTTCTTTGTTTGACATAGCTTTTGCAAATTGATTTAGTTACTTGATGGTATATTATAGGAAACATTGTTCGGAATCTGTTTCTATATGTTTCAAAATCTTCAAGTAGTTCTTGTTCAGATCTTACAGAAATTTTCATGATAAGATGCTAAAAAAAAAAGAGCTCTTCGTCTTCTATATTGTAAATGGCGAATCTTAGCAGAATCAGATTTTTTCGTTGAATAACCAATCTATTTTTGCGGTCTCAACAATAGAATAAGTTGGAACATTGGCTTGGATGTCTAAATCTGAAGGTCGGTCGAAATATTTGTCAATTGTATTATTTCAATATGAAAACTCACTGTCATCATTGCTATTATCATCATCGTCATTTAATTAAGATAGAAGATGGATTGGTTTAACAGATTTAGGTCTAAGTTCAGAAGGTGGAGATGGGAGATAAAGTACAGAGACAGAGCATCTTGTTAAAGGGTACTGTAATAACAGGATTATTAGTTCCATAGCACCTAATCTTCATGTCATGATATGTCTCCTGTATTCATCATTTTTGGAGATATTGAAAAGTTCGAAAGGTTCAGGTTTCGTTATGTATTTTGTTATGTATTTGACAAATCTATTTGATGTAATATACTGAAAATTTATATATCCTTTCCAAATCAATAGAGTTTCAGGGTGGTATAGAACAACCATCTTGTCTTCTTGTTTGGTATAATGATATACGTAATGTAAATTGTTTGGAGAACAGTATGTTCTTTCTGATAACAGCTGAAGAAAACCTTTGAAACACTGTTCATCAGTTGAGTCTTGTTCTCTACATCTGTGATTGCAATGATGTAGTTAAAATGTTATAACCAATTGGTGTAGGTCAGGTTCTGAGATAGGGTCAGGAACGTCAGCTCGAATCATATTCAAGAAAATTAATTCTTGCAATTTTTTTTCAGTATAGATGAATCTATATGTATAGATTGTTCCTCTATTTTGAAACTCATCACATTCAAAGAAGTGTTCCTATTTTTCCCAGCCAGCTAGATCAGGTTTTTTCTATAATTTGTTACAAATCTTATTTAAAAAATTTCAGTAAAACATGTAGATATGTAGTAGATAGTTTGTTAATAACGGGTCATGATTATTAGTTGATAATAGAATTTCATATAATTGAGGCCATTTATCTTCTGCTATGGTTATTGTGTAAAATATTTGAGGTAGTCTGTAAGCTTGTATCATTGTGTTGACTTGATGTTGTTTTTTTTAAAAAATGGTGCAGCAGTCCTGAGGTATGAGAGAATTGTTGTAGTTTTCGATTTGTCAAGCATCATATAATTATTGTAAGAGCTTGTGCTAATCAAATCGGCTCTTGTTGGATAGTATTGTTAATTGACATGTCATATGGATAATAGATGATGCTGATTTTGAAAAATTTTTTTTTTTTCTAGGGTTAAATATGACTAGTGTGACCAGTACCAATGTAATCAAAATTGTGGATCAAGACATAACATTCGAAGTTTGATATATTTATTATAGCTATCTATGGATGGTTGGATATTCAAATGTTTTTTATATCTTCATAATGGTCTCAATTTCTAGGAAATAGATCTGGAAATATTAAGGCTTTTAGATCAGGATTATTAAAAAGAATCAAAAGATTTACGTTATTATTGGTTAAGATAGATCTGGCAACTAAATGATTGTGATTAGCATCTTGATTATGGATCTCTGTAGGAATGAAACATTTGATACTACTAAATCAGGTAGATAGAGAATTTCATTAGGAAGAGCACTTTAATATGTATTTGAAGAAAATGTATGAGTATTGATAGATTGGGTTACTAAGAGTAAAGGTATAGATACGATACTTTCTGGTAATAGATGAGTAGTGATTAAATTCAATTAGTACTGTCTAATAAGCTCATTATTTTGTTTTAGCCAATCTGAAGCAGGTATTAATGAGTTATGAAACCAATTTGGTAGTTCATTAGAATTTAAATAAGCACTAATTGATTCAGAATATAATTGTAAAAACTGATAGTTGTGTGTTATTCCTATTAAACCTTCTAAATATCTATAATTTGAGTAATGATTTGTGCCAGCAGTGCAGCCTAAAGAACAGTTCATGTGAACAGAAGAAAGATATCTTCAATGCTTCATAGGAACTTCTTCGATTTCTAAAGGAACAGGAGTTAGGATAGAAGGATAACAATGTATGCTTTGGTTTTTGTATCCATTGCATACTACAACCTGTTCAATATTTTGCTTATTTATTCGAGTATATACTGGAATATCGAAAGCAACTATTAAATAATAAACTTTATTAGGATCATAGAGGTTCCATTTTACGGTAAATTTCATTATCAACATTGAACAATAGGCACAAGGAATACATGGATAGTTATATAATATTTTCGGTTGAAATTCATTTAATAGGCGTTAAAGGTTAGCCTGTTAAGAGATTGGATTAAGATTGAGTAGGTATAGAAAGTCTGATTCAGTTTGTACCTGATTATTATCTGGAATCAGTGCATTTGGTAAATTTTGATTTATTTCATTTCTGAATATATAAGGGTCGAATGAATGATCATTTTGTGAATTTTCTGAATTAGATTGTACAGCATGTTGAAAAGTAAAAAGAGAAAAAGTTTGAACTTGATAGTTGGACATTTTTTTTTTAAAATATCGATTTAGAGTGATTACTTATTAAATTTATAAGCATCTAACAGATATATTTATATAAAATTTTTAAGATAAGTTGGATTTGTTTTTATTTTTATAATTCGGTTAACTTAAATATTTGGTCTGCATTAATACAATTAGCTCATATAGCATATATCATAACATATTAATTTTTATTTACTAATTTTTTATTTTTATTAAATTTATTTTGATGTAAAAATATAATTAAATTTAATCTGAATCTATATCTTGACTATTAACTATATCATCAGAGTTTTCTTGCATAGGAGGTTTATCGGTTTTAATTTGAAAAATCACGTTTGTAAAATTAGCGGATAATGATTCATCTTTTTGCAGTTTTGGTTTTGGTATATAATTATCTAATTTTCTTTTTTTTAAAAATTGAGCATCCATTTTAGCATATTTTTCTTCTATAAGGTCAAGTTGGTTATCCAATTCATCACAGGGTTTCTCTTTTTCTTTATTAAACGAGGATAAAGTTTGGGATTCATTAATATTATCCGTATAATTCCATTCGATGTCTGATGTGATTATATAGATGTTCTTTTATGTGATCCAATCGTAAATCTTTCGATTACTGATATAACCGTTTTTTTTAAATTTTCTTTGAAATAATTATACCGACCATTTTGGTTTGTATAAGATACGATAATGTTAGATTCAATGTTCTTTTTACTGGTCACTCTATTGTACAATCGCCTAGACATTATAAAACTATATCTTCCAACTTCATCATTAGATTGGTAAAAATTAGTAACCGCAGCAGCAAAATAAATCATCAGGGAAAAAGAATAAGGAAGATCTTTGAGTATAACTGATGTATCATCAGGAAAGTACGAAATCGGGATAGCTTGAATAAGAGTAACCTTAAGAATTTTAAATTGAGACAGTTTAGTTTTTTAGGAATTACAAGATAAAATGAATGCAATTATATAATTGAGCTCAAACCAGATTTATTTTTCATATGTTAAAAATGATTTTAACATAAGTTAAATAAAACCAGTTACGAACTATATCGTTTATTAACATATTCCACATCTTCATTATAAATATATTGTTCGATAATGAGTACAATAGAATTTTTATCAAAATCATTGATTAACATTTCTGAAGATCCAGTAAATCCTTTGTAGATGATTTCTCTAAAAGATTCTCTATCATTTTTAATTCAATACAAGGCACTTCTAAATACATATTTTTCATTCTCTGTGACAGTTTTAATGAAACAGAATGATATGAATAGGGATGACATGATTTTAACGAAATTATAGTGGATAAAAAAGAAGATAGATAAAGAACGATGATAGTAATTTGGATAAGGAATTAAATAGTATTATTTTATGATTTTAAAGACACGAAATTAACTATC